AGTGTACACCCAGCGAAAACACACAGATTTATTAAATAGACTTAAATTATTTGAAACTCGGATATTGAGCCAATAATAAAAGTATAAAGGAAAAGGACATATGGAAACGAGTTAAGAGTAACTCTCCACCACTGTAACTAGATACTATATACAGTCAGAAAGTGCTTGTGCTCATTTTCGTTGCGCTTGCCTTCCCCTCTTTGGTCTTTCCATAACCTTGAACCTTCCAAGTTGGAAGGCTGTCGGTTAGCGCTACGGAGATGTGTTGAAGCTAGGTGTCAGGACGTCGAATGTCTCAGTACTCTGTCAGTTTTGTGCCTAGTTGTTGCACTTTCTGACTGTATATAGTATCTAGTTTCAGTGGTGGAGAGTTACTCTTAACTCGTTTCCATATGTCCTTTTCCTTTCTACTACTATTAAATTAGTAAAAATTTGGTTTGTGAGCAACACTGCCTCACACTTAATCACTGCTTTTCACAAGAAAAATATTTTAATTCAAAGTTTCGGTCATGAAATAACCATCATCAGGAATCATTCCTGATGATGGTTATTTCATAACCGAAACGTTGAATTAAAATATTTTTATAGTGAAAAGCAGGTATTGAGCGTGAGCCAGTGTTGCTCACAAACCAATTTTTTACTCATGAAGCTGCGTGATGCGTCCTACAAAATTAAATTAGTGTTATTCTAAAGTGAACATTTGCCTTATCAGTGTTCTTCCTAAAGAGGTGGAGGGGGGGGGGGGGGTCACTGTAAACCCATGTGCACTCACCATCGCAATGAGGCACAGAAGTGAGCTGTCCACTAGCCAAGCAGCTTGGCGTGGCATGACCGATAAGTCCAAAGCCCTTATTGCATGAGTAGGCGGCGCTGCTCTGGAATTGGATCTCTGCGCTGCTAGCAACGCCATTAGTGATAATGGGTGCATCGCAGACCACGGCTGTAGACAGATTGAGAACAGGAATGCAACACAATCCTGTTGTTACATACCCTAACCTTAAATCATTTCTGACTTCCCCAAAGCAATACGCCCATTGCACTATGACGTAATTTGTATCATGAAGACCCCACACAGCCACCTGGGCATGGTCGTCTGGGGTGTTGAACAGTGCACAGCTGATCCCAGCGTACTCACATGCATTACTCATACCTGCCATATTTGGCAATGCTCGATGGGCTTATTAGCTGGTAGGTACTATAGGGGACTGCCTACAACCTGTCTCTCATAGAAGCCTATTTGGACTAATGGCCTGGTTTTCGAGATGCACTCTCCGCACATAAGCCTGATCCTAGTATTGGCATCGGCTTGTGTAGGAATAAGTCCTGCTTCTGTGCACGACATTATATGCCACGCCTCTCATACATGGCAATCCAGTTTCCGTGCGATCGCGATGTCCTGATTTATCCCTCACCAGGACTCACTCTGAGTTTAGTGGGAATGTTCGTAGTTCACACAGACCTATAGTATGCAGGGAACTGAGATCCAAACAACAGTGACGCTATGTACCGTGGTTTCCGGCGGATATAAGGCTTCATATTTTAAGCAGCATGTGAGTGCAAGATTTTTGTCACGAGATATAGGCATCTACCCTGCCTTTTCCGGCTCATTTGACCATCACGTTAAACGGCTGTTTTTAATATTTATTTATTTATGGATTCCCCAAAGGCCGAGGCCTAAGTCGAGCGGGTCTCCGTTCATGGCTTACTGGGAGTATATCTGCAAAATTATAACCTATAGATTGAGAAGAGGAAGGGTTATAACAAATGCGTACTGTAGAAATCAGCCATAACATTCATGACTATGTTACAGACACTCTGGAAAGAATGAGACTTCTTGTGGGGTGAATTGTGAATGGTATTTCAAGTGTTGCCTATACTCCAGGGATGCCGGATACCAAGAGCACATAACCCCCCAGAGGGTGCAACTCCTGATCCAGCTCCGTATAGGGTCTTGGTCGAGCGTAATCGAATCTTCTGCTGTCATGAGTACACTCCACACCAGCGCAAGGCCGGTCTCGAGGCAGGGCACCGTTGTTTTTGATCCGAGAGTACCCACGATTCCCCAGGTTCCACTCAGATGTGTACGGTATTATGACGCAAAGATCCGACTACGCTCGACCAAGACCCAATGCAGAGCTGGATCAGGCGTTGCACACTCCGGGGGGGGGGGGGGGGGGGTGTTATGTACTCTTGCTGATACATGTAGGTCTGTTTCTCTGGCACAGGAATCAACAATAGACTACATAAAATAAGGAGCAAGAAGAGTGAGAGAGAGGCCCTACGAGAGTTTCAGAGATACATCTATATACTCTAAGCAAGGCAGAACAAATGAGACCATTGACTTTCACGCTGCTCGGAGTTTCGTGTTCAAAAACACTCACCGGGCGAGTGTTTTCGGGCACGAGACTCGAAGTCACGAGAAAGATGTTGGTCTCTGCTGTTCTACCTAGTCTATAACACCCCGCACTTGTGGTATGGAGCACTATGTTGCAGCAAGGACGTCAGACACGTTGTCCAGGCTAGACTTACGTGTACAGTGAGGCATTGCACTGAGACTTCCGTGAGCTGTGCAAGTTGCGGACGCGCTGCCCACGTTCGTGAATCCCACCCTGCACGAATAGGTCACCGTTTGTGCATACTGGACCGCCGCCTGGTCAGCGGTGCCGTTACTAATGGCAGGCACACTGCAGGTGAGAGCTGTGCACAGAACGAGGGCAAAGAGGAAAAATGAACACATACGAGTAAAGGTAAAGTCGGAGGGAGTTGTGGTTGCTCGTGAGAGTGCTCAATACACCAAGGTGCAGAGCCTAGTACACACACTTGAGAGGAATCAAGAGCAGACACGTTTTTGATTCCTCTCAAGTGTGTGTAGAGGTAAAAATATTGGTCTGTAACATCCACCGTAGTGTGACTGTGTCTTTTGTAAAGCCTAGTTCACATTCAACGGGACGCGACGTAAGGATCGTCGAGAAGTAACGGAACGATCTGATGCTTTCCAATGCAAGCACCGGGAACGGGAACGCAACCGTACCACCATATAGATTGGGAAGCGATGGGAAGACGCGGCGTGCAAAGGGTTAATCTTACGATGGGCAATGACCAATAAAGGATTAAAGGCAGTTACAACAGCAGAGATTCACTTTGTGTTGAACAGAGAGCAGCACTCACAGACGCGGATTGAGAATGTGTACGGTTCCATGGGTTGTCCGAGCAGTTACATGTCTATCCCCCGTGGATTACGTGATTACGCGGCCGCACAATTTTTCGCATAATCGAACATGAATCGCATTTTCTTACAACTTCCGCGTTGATGTCGCATAAACCTTGATTTCGTAGCAAAAAAAACAGCGAGGAAAGTCCGCGCAATATTGACCATCCGGCCGCATTTTCGGTCGCAGTCTGCACGACAAGAAGTGTGTCTTATCAGCGCTGAGCCCTTTCGATCATGTTTTCGTTCAGGTACGCTGCTTTAGTTTGCTCTAGCTGATGTCGATATTTACTAGTGCAATAGTGGCGGTTTACGTCTGGAGAAAGTTGTAGCAGCGATATCTTCTCAGGATCTTCTCAGGATCGGAATCGAAAATGAGATTTCCGTCGCTGAAGCCTTTGCAGTATTCGCTCCCCAAGCAGGAGTAAGATGGAGGACAGCGATGGCCTGAAACCACCGAGGCAGGTGAAGTTAGGTATCCAGTGACTATTCCTGGCCTTCTCAATCTTCATACCATCCAGACACGAGTAGATCAGCAAAAGGAAAGTACAATAATTATGTCATTATTTTGATAACCGCAATCAATAAAACTAGCTGAACCGACATTTGTGTACTTTATTCATGCCATGTAAAAACAGTGGAGACGATGTGCAATAAAACGATGAAAATATGAAGAAATGGTGTAGGGAAAAATATGGATTCAAACAAGTTTTCGTACAACACTCATCAGGAATCGTCGTTGTACTAAAGGACACTGAAACAAAAATTGAGTCTTTATAGAGAAATAGATTATGGGCTTGGATGGTGGATTAGTTGTGGTTGCTGTAGATTGGGTTGTTGGTGTTGGTGTGGGAGCTCCTGATATGCAAGGTGGGTCTTTTTGAGTCAGAGATTATTTTGAATGGATAAAATAAATCGAATCTGACATAATTATTTTATCAATGGAAATCTTGATGCAGAAGGCCCGCATAATGAATGTATTGCCGCATAATCCTTGCATAATTGACTGTTTAAGGTAGCTTAATTGTGCGCATAATTTGACAAGTTTGTCCGCGCAATTCACGGGGGACAGACATGTGGATGAGGTAAGACTGTCATCACACCATGGTTCAAAGTGCTGCGTCTACGTCCAAATAAGGAGTTTTTGGTCGGTTGTCATGATGATCCGCGTACGCTGTGAAAACGGGAGCAGAGGAAACGGGAGCAGTAGACGTGGTAGGGAGGAGGGTATACGACTTTTTAGATGATGTGCGTATCTCCCGCAGCCTTTTTCCGACTGACCTTGTACTGTGCTTCGATGTACTTGGGTTCAATTTTCTCAAAAAACGTGACTGCAGGTACGCATCAAGAACTGTCCCTGTCTGATTACATGACCACCCGTTTTGGTTTTTTCACCGTAGACATAAACGAGAGTCGGAGAACGTAGTGTGATGACGGCCTAATCATAAGAGGTATGACTTGCGATTGTCATGGTAGTTGTTGTCAGGGTGACACACGGCTGTGCTTCAGTTAATTTCAGCGTCGCTGTTATGTGAGAGATGTCAGGGAAAGGAGTGTTTTCGAAAAGGTTTTGAGGCACCGATAGAAATTTTGCATCCAGACTTCATCACTAAAACTCTTCTTCCGCTACCTCTGAAACTCGGACCACTAAAACAATCGTTAGTATTGGACAAAACGGATAGCTTGTCCCCTCTTTTTTTAAGAAATACAAGGACCAAGGTACTACAAATTACGCTATGTCCACTAACCCCACCAGTTACTAAACAATCAGCTCATGCGATAACATTGCACGACACTGACCGTGACCGTGGTGCTGTTAAAGGACATCATACCATAGCTTGTAGCTCCTTGGTCCTTTTTATTTCTTATAAATTAATCCTTGGCTCTCCATCATGTGGAGCAAGAGGGTCCAGAATCTGCCTCGTTCCAAGCACTGGAGCTATCCATCAACACAAACGACATAAAAAACGTGGCCGTCCACCATTGTGGTGGGTAGATACGATTCGGCAAGACCTCGAAGGCAACGGATCTCTCCGTGGAGAGCGCTCTCCACGCTGCAGGAGATAGATTAACTTTAGCCTGGTTTGCTGAGTCTAAGGTTCGATGGACTTCTCGTGTTCTCTGAATGGCAGTCGTGAGTCAGTCAAGTGTCAAGTCAAGTCGGCGGAATGATAGCCCGAGCTCCAGTGTGGGAGCAAACGGTTTAACCCATTCCTAAACAATCAATATTTATATTATTAGATTACATCGTGAATTGCTTCCGATGCAGAGAACGCTAAAATAGCGTTCATTCGGTAAAATGTTCCGTTCTTCTGCACTTACTCTCGCAGTGTGGCACTGAGCTGAGCTGGCCCGTAGCGGTACAGGTAGGGCTGGCGTCACCCACAAGTACCTCGCCCGCGCTTCGGCACGAATAGGCGACCGCTTCCGTGACCAATAACTCTGTGCTATTCGCATCGCAGTTAGCTATCACTGGCACCCGACATGTCGTAGCTGTGAACAGAACGCGGACAACAACAGAAAACCAGAATTGCAAATGACACCAGAACACATACATGCAGTAACAATTAACAGAATGAGCGAGGCGGACATTGTACGTAGTAAAAACAAAATAGTGTGAGTTCTGACAACTAACTAAACTTCCTAGCAGATTTTCATGAGACCTTCTTCTGCTCATTGTTATAATGAAGACTTTGTCTGCACTTTGATTATCCAAATACTTAGTGCTGCTACATAATTCTAGTCATTCATTCAATATTCTTGACCTTCATGGGTCAGACTTATGGTGGTACAAGAAGCAGAGCTGTATGGAGGAACTTTTACTTGTCCATATCCACAACCCCCATCACCGAATTCCTCGCAGGTCAGCTTGCCATGTCCTCACTGTTTTGTTTTCTCTGTATATTCTTCGTTCGTGATTTGTCATCTGTGTATGCTGGTTCTTTTTCCAGTTTCTCTTTTGTTCACCTCCCATTCACTTCTCATTTTACCTAAGTGTACCCTTCCCCTAGTCCTCTCCTCTCACGTCCTCCCTTCGACTCTGTCCATGCTCTTGTGTTTTCAATTTCATGTAGTCTGTCCGCCGTTCCATTTCTCCTTCGTTGAATTTTTTTTTTACTTAGAAGTTGCGACTTTGGCGGTAATAGTGATGAAGTTGATTGTTCCAACTAGGAACACACGCTCAGTCAAGTGTCAAGTTCGGCAAGAAGCGTGTGTTCCTAGTTGGAACAATCAACTTCATGATTTTTTTCGTAATCGTTTAGCTTCCTTTTTGCTTGTACGAATACTGTTCTTGTTTCGTTTCCCCACGATTTATTTCTCTCTGTATGTTTTCGTCATGAGGCATTGGTATAATCAGTGTGGCACATGCGAACCTGGGCAACCTCCATCCGACGGGGGCCCCAGCAACGCGGACGTGCTTATAATAATAATATCTACAACTTGGAGACATGTTGCTGGTTGTGATGAGGTCGGCCAGAGAGTGCATGCGGTGGATGTGAAATTTCTTCATCAAGCCAAACACGTGTAAGCTTTAGAACAAGTTGGATATGGCCAGCAGTCCAGAACTTAGGTTAAAACAAACATGGCCACGTTCTGCAAGTACATGTAGTGGTTATTCTAGTTGACTACGACACAATCTGTGGATTTGAAATCACCATGGGGATTTTGAAAAATGGCGGATGTCTCAGTGTCCAATTTAAACTAACAGGCTGCTTATACAAGTTCCCGATATGCACAGACTACACTTCAGTTATCCATTATATACCTTTGGGCTAGGCCCGTCTTCAGATACCTTCGGGCTAGGCCCGTCTTCAGGCACCAGGATGCAAGTGGTTCTAACGTGTCGGCATGCTGCGCATTTGACCTGTTTTCTTTGCGCTGCGTAAGCAACACTTGGGGTTCGCTGTAAGAAAGCGACAACGCCTATAGGCACTTACCTATCATAAAATGTACTAGAGTCTGACCGCGCATAGCCGCACTCATCCGTTATCCACAAAACTATCCGGATGGGCGAGGAAATCGTATAATCGAACACACATACTGTATGTATGCATGGCATATGCTGTAAATCGGTAGCCAACGATTTTCATCCAGATGGTGAGGGATCCGGATAAAAGAGGACCGGATAAGCGAGGTCTGACTGCACTACATCTATTCATTATAGTTAGCAATACGTCCGACGCATTCACTTGGGGCGTATTTTTACCGTGGTGCCGAGACTTCAGGTCGGCAGAGCTATTAATACCCGACTATGACTGCTGTGTCTCGGTGCAGCCTCTGGTCGATAGTTGTCACGTTCGTCCTAGTCTCAGTGCCATTGTCTTTCTTTTTTATTTTACGGGTTGGGTATGTGAACATAGTAAAACAATTAATAAAAATGACAACAGGGGAACCTCGCAGTGGACATAGTTTGATGCGCTCCCCATAATATCAAGCAAATGGCCGAGGGCCCTCTTGATTGGTGTGAGTTGCCTGTATGATGCAAGCCAGATATTGATTAATCGAAGAAGTATAGATTTGCCATCACTATGGATAAGAGTCATACTGTAGCTCAGTTGGTTAGAGCATTGCTCCCGAATAGCAAAGTCCCTGGTGCGATGCCCGGTGGTGTGACTGGTGATTTTTTCTTTCTTTAGTATCTGGCTTGCAAGTGGTGAGTTTCGGAGAGAAAAGAGCAGTACGCACGTGTATACGAGGCATGCGCCGTCTTATTTCCTAACAGGGGAACGCTAGAATTAGAATATGCTTGGTCCGCGTCAGCGATATTGTCGCTTATCTTTCAGCTTTGTTTATATGTCGCCAATGCTCACTTGGCAGCCCATTTCATCCCAATTTTGGTTAGTAAGTTAGTTTTCTAGTACCTGAAAGGTCTAGCTAGATTTCGAGTGGATTTCGAGAGTGACGGGTGGGTGATTTTGATTGATAGAGCGCCGCATCAAAATAGATGATCTTGTTACGCTGTGCAGCCAAGAGCAGCGCAAGCCACAAGAAAGTAATCGGCTACTCAGAATCAGCTCCATTTTTGCTGAACGGCCGAGATCGCTCACCTCAGGGATCGCTCGTCAAGCTGAGATCGCAGCTCCCTTACCTCCAGCTCAACGCGCCGGAGTATCCAGCGCGACAAAGAGATTTGCAAGTACTGTACGCGTCGTCGTCGTCGTTCAAAATAAAATCTTGCAAAGAACGGCGTCTGATTAGAACCACACAGACTGTCGTGCTGCCCACGCGAAGTCCTACAGAGAAGGCGACCATCACGATCGACTTCTCTTTAGAAAACAGCCAGGCAGCGGAGAGGAAGAGAGATCAGCTTGCAAAGGCAAAAGAGTCGATCCCGAGCAAAAATAGTTGTCACCAGCACCGAGAGCAGCGACGAGGGGGACCGAAAAAGTGTGAAGCCTTCCTTGAACAATAAATTCATCATAGCTAGTTGTCATTCTATACCTTACCTTCCACCGTACCAAGTTTTATCACTTCAACTGCACATGTTGATGTCCAAAGTCTAATTTTAAATTGTCGAAAGATAAGCGACAATATTGCTGACGCGGACCAAGTAGTTTTCAACGTCGTTGTCATGCGACAATCTTCAGATATCTTCATGTGCTTTCTGTTTGCACAAATCTGTGACTACAATTATGGTATCTTATACTATTTACTTTGTTAGTCCAAATCTCGTTGTAATGAAGATTTCTGAAGATAGTCGCATGAAAACGACCTTACAATCTATACCTAGTGTTCCTGGGTTGTCATGGTGTTTATGGGTTGTCACGGTATTGTTATCTTTGTTAGGTTTCTTGTCTCCCTTGCGGCTTGTTTAACTTCTACTCGAAAAAGAGATTTTTTATTCCAAACAGCAAAATGTGACCACAAGGGGCAGTGAACTCAACCACTCCCACTACTACTTCTATGAGCTGCTTTAGTGAAATTACTAACGGATTGAAGCTAAGGCCGCAACCACACTACGTACAAATCACAGTACAAATTTTCATGCATACCTCAGTACAAGTCGGTACGCAACCACACTACACTTTTCGGTGTGCATAGATGACGTTTTCACGCGACCAGCACGTGACGTTGTCGTACCGAAGCGTGTGCCATGCGCTGGAAAAGACCGGGAAATTCAAAAACAATGCTGATGCTGATGCTATGTACGACAACCAGGTACAAAAACAAAGTTGTACACAGGAGATGGAGCGCGAAAACGAAGAAAACGACAAACGTGGCTTTCTACAGGGGTGCGCCAGTTGCTGAAAACCTACAAAGCGCATTTTGCATTTCGCATGCGTCGGCATGACGATTTCTACTGTAATGCCGTTTGCACATGATTTTGTACCTGGTGTGGTTGCAACCTAAGGTCGACTTACGTATCTCGCACGCCACATGCAATGGCGTAGACAGGGCGGTCAGGCCTCCAAGTGTATTACGGGCTTGCTGATTTCCATTCGGCAAGCCCTTCCATGCTACTACGTTAGCCCTTGTCAGGGTTGCAGCGCACCCAGCCTGATACGACGCGTCGGAGAGCAGCGTTCCGTTGTAGAACTTACACACGGCCAGTGCCGAAGTGTAGTTAAGTGTGTAGCCGACGGGGCTGATTCTCACCGCACCCTTTGTTGCCTTGCAAGAAGCAGAGGCAAGCAACTCTGCAGACATAGACAGCGACAACAGTAAAAACAGCGAAAACAGTAACAGCAGAGTACTGAACAGATACTTGAACGTCAATTAGATTCAATGATCTCAGGAATTTTGTGGGTTAGCGAGGTGAAATTCTAACGAATTCCGTCTCAAAACCTGCAAAGGACAGTACATGTGCACATCGTTTTGCACATAACGACTTCAAATGTTAACGTTAAATCGTCAGAATTACATGTTCGTTAACATTACTGGTCTCACAGTTGATAGTGAAAACATTGCAGACAGTGACAACAGGCCTACCACCGTCCAGTTAGTTGTAGCGCAAGGGAATACGTGAGTAGAAGTCCAGAGTTAGTTGTAACGCAAGGGAATACGTGAGGTGTAGCTTTGCATAGGTCTCATAGTTGGAAATCCAAACGAGCACAAATGCTCAGCGAAAAGGCAGAAAATGTGTTAGTATGTTACACGGAAGGAGAGTTCGGGAGACCAAAATGAGACAGAAGACAGGATGGGAGCAGTTGTAGAAAGAAAGCGTCCCCCTGGGTATTTGTACTGACCGTCAAATCGGCACTGGACATTGCTAGCGGTTGACGTGGACTGTGTTTGGTCATAGCGAAGGGGAAGACAAGCTGGAAACAGAACAAAGGAAAAGGCAAATATAATCAAGAGAAAGCTACAAATAAAATGATACCGATTTTAACGTTATTATCTGCACGTGGACTTTTCACCCAATGACCAGACGCAGCTGAAGATATCTTTGCTGTATTTGAAGGATGCCGAGGCAACGCTGCAAATATTCTAACAAGAAAACTGTCCAACGAGCAACACACGCGTCCTGCCGAATTTGACACTTGACTGACTCACGACTGCCATCCGGAGCACACGAGGAGCATGTCGCACCTTCCACTTGGCAAACCTGCTCTATGCACAGTGTATTGGGGAATTCACCCCTCATCAGTTGAGCTTGAGTAGGCTGAGCTAGATTGTGCCTGAAAGCACCACTTATATAGTGCTCTCCAGGCAAAACCATCACCAGGGATACAAACTGTGTGTTCCTCGTTGGAGCAGCCAACTTCATCACTAATACCGCCGAAGTCGCAACTTCTAAATAAGAACATTGTCCATTTTTTAAAGCAACATTTCGGCTTTTCGTCCTCATCGAGTTAGCAATAGTTCTAGCTGGGAAAACCAAGAAGGCGGAGAGGGAGGACGGGTTACAAAAGAAAAAAAGTAACAAATGCCGTTACAATATCAAAGAAGCATGGAGTCGAATTTCAGTACCAGTATAGGTTACCTTTCCTCCATGAACCATAGAAGTCGGAATGCTATAGCCGGGGTCCTCCCAGCATAGTGAAAGTATGCCTAGGGTATCAACATGGGCATTACGGATACAAAAAATATGCTGATGTGATACGAAAGAAAAAAGAAGAACAATGGTGCCGTAGACTCAGGACGTATGCCGTGTCGTACGAATCATTCAAGATTTCACAGTTCACCCCAGCCGTCCCGGCGGGCCCTCTCCGTCTGCGTTGGGTCGAATGTGAACCAGGCTTAAGAAGTGCACATTCGAAAATATGAATAGAAAATGGATCTTCACTTCTCTAACAAAACAATTAAGGTTAGAATATGGTCGTAACGTACTCTTAGTAGAGTAGAGAGCTGAAGCTTTTCAAAACACTCAATATCTCCTAATTTGGCCAAGTGACATCAAAGTTATGATCAAAACGGGACAGGGTCCGTCGTTTGGACCATGAATTGCCCAGGGTTGGTGGAGGAAAAATTGTTCAAAGAAACTTTGAGCCTTCTTCTTCGTCATGGTAGTTGTCGTGTTTGGACAACAAACTACTTTTGTTGTAGGGTTGAACATTTGCAGTGCGATTTCAAGTTCGAGGACCGTATTTCCCCGATTATAGGTCGCACTCGATTATAAGTCGTACCCCCATTTCCAGGTTTGAGCAATATATTGACTTCAGTAGTAGGGCTGTGTTTACATGAGAAATTTCAACCCGGGTCGAGTTCAGCCCGGGTTGAAAGTCTGTACGATAGACAAAAGAGGTGAGCGTTTACATGAAGACAGTTGACCCGGGTCAAATACTGATATGCCGCCAAAAGTCCACTTCTGCAGTCCTGTATGGTCACGTGAATCCGTTCGCGCGAAATTTGCATCTGCAGTGCCGTTCAAACCTGGCGCGAGATACGCACAGAAGTACGTTTGTACGATTTTCTTGACCCGGGTTGATTTCAACCCTCCCCCCCCCCCCCGCCCCAAGGGGAGGGTTGAAATCAACCCGGGGCGAAATTTCAACCCGGGTCAAGCGCAATGCTTCATGTAAACGCGCCATTCGTTTTGTGTGCATGGCGGGTTGAAATCTAACCCGGGTCGAACTCAACCCGGGGTGAAACGCCTCATGTAAACACCGCCTAAGTCATGCTCGATTGCAAGTTGTACCCTCTTTATCACCAAACATGATTAATTTTTAGTGTGAAAAGGTGCAACGTATAATCGGGGAAACACGGTACTTCTATTTTTCCGATCGAATATTCGAGTACACGAGTATTCTTCTTCGCCTAAAATTGCACATAAAAGTGAAAAATTAACATGATGAAAGCCACGATTGAATAGACTGGTGGCCATCTTGTGGACTTTACTGATTACTGGGTCGTCTCTCCTGGCTCTCGTCTTATACCACAGTTCACAACACAGCCTGCTTGCTGCTCGGGAACTGCTGATTTCTGGAGAAAACGAAGTTTAACGAACGTGCGTGGATAGTGCAAAAACGAGGACTCTGATTTGTGTTGAGTGCGATTTTCCCTTGAAGACGATCAAACTGTTGTGTCCTGACCCCCATGCCCACAAGCATCCGGGAAGCGCTAGCAGATTGGGGAGAGTCCCTGAACAAGAGCATGCGCGGTGTGATCATGCTAGTGCTACATAAGTAGATATATTACTACTGTGTACAGTACACATGAGTACCTATCTAACAGGAGTACATATCTAACAGGAGTACATATACTATAACACATGCTGTGAAGACATTGGCAACCAACTTACGTAGCTCGCATAGAGTAAGAAGAGGAAATTGCCAACGTCGTGCCGGAGTGCTGTCTAATGCGACACGAGTTACTGATTCTCGTGGACCGACTAGGTGAAGAGCACATTGAGCGCTGATCGATGCGTCCGATATGAAGGGGGCGTTGTAAAGTTTGCAAAACTCTTGTGCTGGAAGTTGTGTTAACTTTTCGTACGATGGGATAATTATAGACGAAGATGAGCTACAGTATTGGTAGTTGCTCGGGCGAGAGGCTGCAGTCAGTCACAATAAGAAACAAAAAGAGCTAAAAGGAACAAAACAAGCAAAAACTTTTACAAAACCCTATTGTGTGATCTGTATGTTAAATTATTTCATGCAACTACTTTTTTGGACGAAGATCTGGCTAGGTATTGGTTCCAACCAAACTGATGAAGTTGGTGCTGAGCCGCAGATGTCGTACAGATGAAATTTTCGCTTGAGATTGACCAACTGTGTTGGGAGTTCCTTGGTCATGTACTGAGAATGCAGCGCGTGTTAGAGTTTTCAGCCACCGCGAGCCTGCGCGGTCGATTGGGCCGACCCAGGACAACTCTCCTCTCCGCTGTTTCTCAGGACTGCCTAGCCCGACTCGGCATTCGCCTGGGCACGCTAAGAGGCCTTAATCAGCTGCGGCAGTTGGCAGGGGATAAGTCACGGTGGAATGGCACCCCGCGGCACTCATCTTCCTCTGCCGAGCCGCGGCCTTGACTTATCCCCTGCAGGGTGCACGAACTGTCTACCGTCTTTCTGACATTGCCACTCGAACTTGACAATAGAAGCTGCTTTTCGTATGTGCAGTTACATTGAGCCATGGTGTTTTTGTCTTTTGTTTGTGAATCCTTCTGGGAAGCAAATGCTGGTTTTTATGCATTCGTGTAATTACGCAGCGTTATTTGCAATAATAATAATAATAATGATAATAATAAACTGATGAAGCTGGAAAAGCGACTGTCTGCCAGTCGGTAGTTTTGGGCTAAATTGGTGGAATGTGCATGCATGGCACACAGTGTGCACCCAACCCTGCATGTGCACAACTACGGAAATTCGTACCTCTGCACGAGATGATGTAATGATGTAATGCTGTAATGATTTAGGGCCCATAAGGATCGACTGTACAGACGGTAAGAAACGTTTTACACTACTCACTGTAACATCTTGGCACATGGTAAACTTGACCATCGTCTGCTTCACATCTGCGAGTAAGATTGCCCGATGGAATATAGCCAGGCTGGCATATGTACTTGTCTGCATCAAATTTCAGCCCCGGGTAAATACGGCAATTCTTGGCTGCACGACAAGTCCACAGAGCAGCACAAGGAGATAAATCATTCCATGATGCATGCACACTGCACAGACATAATTGTGTGGCATGGGCAGCAAAAACCAGAGTTAGTTGAGCATATGTATAGGCCTTCAGGGAAGCACAGAGTACTCTAGTTGATATTATAGTAACAGTGTTGCCTGCACTTGCTGCTATGAACTTGAAAAAACTCAATCCCTGTCATGTGCAGGTCTGGTGTTGTATGCAGACTTGTCAGACAGAAAGAAGCCAAGCCACTGACGTTTTACATGGCTGGGAAGAATATACAAGACTTGAAATGCATGCTGGGTCAAGCCAGATACAGATACATCCACCAAGCATGTCTTGCTCTCCTACGCACAGCAGCTCATAGATGCATGCATTATACTGTAACAGATTTCATGAGCACCGCAAGTGTGCATGCATACGTGAAACAATTTTATTCACAAAATATCTTGTATCAAGTAATGTTTAGGCCTCAATCGTTTGGTCAGCTCCAGATCCAGATCCGTCGGATACACTGGATCTGCAGTGATCGATTGGTCGAATCCGGATCCAGATCCTTCGGATTTGGATTGGAGCAACCCTGCAGGGCTGACTGGATCCATCGGATCAAAATGTGACCTTTGTGTGTATATGGCGGGTAAAAATCATTTTTGTACTCATTGTTGTACGTCTAGTCAACTTTTGTTGATTTTTCGTACAACATGCGCGGTCAGTACGACTTTCGCCCTTTTATGACCTGCCAGCACCATTTTGACCTGTTAATTCGTCAACATGACAACCAAGGTCCAAAAAAGTGATCGATTGATTCTGAAGAATCCGACAGATCTGAGATCTGGCCAGATCCGGATCCGACCAAACGCTGAAACCATGGGCAGACTACGGGCAAGAGGGACACTTCTCTATAATTACCACAGACAGTTGGATCGCCTCCTGAGTGGACTGATGTGAGAAAGCTTGAACATTGATGGAACACACCCAGTGGCTAGTGATCTGTTGAAGATTAAAGTCAATGTAGGCGCCAGTTCATGTGCACAATCACGCAGCACAATGCCTGGGATTTGAATCACTACCTGTCGCTTTATGGGGGTTCACACTTTGTAGCAGCTTGCAGACATCACTGATAGTGACGGGCTGGAAACGCTTGAAGGCATCTGGCATATGTGGGCCCTCGGGAAGCATTCACTGTGATGGCCTGCTTACACCATGAACGATGTCCCCAAAGAATTTGCATGCCTACCAGTGACGATTTTTATAACTTGCCACAGCTTGCGCTGATCTGAAGTAGCACATTTCCGGACAAAGAAGTCATTTTTTTGAGGTGTCTGTCGAGTCGGCGAGCATGCGCACGAGCAATGCGGTGATGCTGCGTCAAGTCGTCATTGCCTGGGTCTCGGATCAAGCGCTGATGCTGACGGTTTCGCTCACGGACAATGCCAACAAGTTCACCTAAAAACCATGGACATACACATCTTTTCTTTCTTGTTCTGGATACAACTGACGCATGTTTGTCAATGACAGCAGTGATAGTGCTATGCCAGGCAGAAGCAGAGGTGTCAAGATCTTTGGAGAGTTTAAATGTACTCAGATGGTGCAACAGGTCTGCCCTAAAGCAGGGCCAATTTATCTGATGATGCATCCTGCAGCTGGCAGTGATGTATGTAATCAAGCACGCTCAGGAGGTCATGATGGCTGAATCTTGCCCGAGCCTGCAGCCCAAGGGCCGTAGGCCCGAGCGCTGCAGCTCGCGCAGGCAAGGGCAAGATTCAGCCATCATGACAGACAGAGCGTGCTCGATTTGATTTCTTTCAGCGCGAAGCAACATATTAGGGAAGGTCAAAGGTTGAAAGGTCGAAGGTCGAAAAATTATTCTCGGAATGACGTCAAACGGTCCGAACATTCCCGAAATGACGTCAAACGGTCCTGATGGCCTGATTATGCCCGGGCGGGAAGATCGCCTATTGGCCATGGCCCCGGCAGCGATCACGTGTCATGTAAGAAGTTGTTCCTCTTAGCAGGTGAGGTCAAGTACATAGGGAGTTTAGCTACTAATGCAAAATGATCAATGATGTCTACAGTAGCAATCGTCCAGGTTATGGGCAAATCTGCTTCGGCGAGCAGTAATTCGAGAGTACTGCAGCTGTGACGTCGCTGGAATTCTAGTGGGAGACGTTACATAATTGGTGATGTTGAATCGTGTTAGAATGTGCTGGAGGGTGTGCTGAATGATGGTGAACAATTATTGACGGTTCGGGCCAGTCACCCATTTTATTTCTTGCCTAGCAATTTTGCGATGCAAAATCAAACTTGAACAGCGATTCGAAAAATGTTGCAAAGCAGGTCTCTTCAACACTTGACAACTTTGTCCTTGTACAGAGCTGATGAGAGAGCAAACACAGACTACAAGTGCATTGTAATACCAGGGTTAGAAACCTAACTTGGTGCCACGGCGCATAGCTCAGTGTTTCCGAGGTTCAGTGCATCCATTTCATCCCTGAGAAACACACCTGGCCCACACCCTGTCCATCATAGGGTACAGTGAATAAACAACAAGCATTGCAGTTTTCTGCCACGCGTTTCTTACGTTGCTTCGTACCTCGCAAGAATTGTGTAGCAAACTGGGATCCGATACCAGTTAAATTATTCACTTCATATACCGTAAAATCCCGCCAGAGCGCCCCTACCTCATCGACGCTTCGTTCGGGAGGGGCGGATGGGCGAGTCCTGCTTGCCGTATTCAGTCTTACATGAAAATGTACTCGCCTTACGAAAACTGTTCGTGTATCTCGTACACCGACCAACGGCCAAGAATCGTACAGACCCGTCAAAACTCAGGTTTTTGCGATCCCTGATCAAGAGGGTGGGCACTGTTGCGTACATTTCCAACGGGGTCAAGCACGCGTCTGCAGTACAGTACGGTACCACAGAGTCATACGTGGATACAATCAACCACTTCCCTGACAAGAAATCAGGGAGGGGCGGATAGGAGGGACGGGGCGCTCTGGCGGGATTTTACGGTATATGCAAGATTTAGGCAGAGGTCATTCTTTAATTCTAATATGCAATATTGAGGCAGAGTTTCATAGTGCTAAATATGCAGGATTGAGATGGACTTACGGCGGCAGGTAACGGGTATGGAAAAGTTTCCATGCTCTGTGCACAAAAATTCCTTATGACCCTCATCAAGTCTTTTAAGGCAGATGACAAGGAGTGTTTTACCGTAAAGCGTCCACTTATCGCCTGCCACAAATGCCTCATCAACGGCAGCAGGGATGGGGCATCTTTTAGCTGCAAACACAGTGGACAAAATCATAAATTACTATTTGTTGGCTATAGTGTTGTCCTTGGACGATGCTTGGTGGGAGCAACATGAAAATGCGGTTACATACATACACAACTGATCTGCTCAGATTGAGTAACAGTTCTACACTATATCACCCCGCTTGCATGTCTTAATTTCGATACATTTCCTCAAAAGGCTTCCCTGGCGAATCAAATTCAGTCCAATGATTCAATATTTATACTCGAAAATGTTCAAGGAAGATACATGTGGAAGACCGGAAGGTTTTTGCTCAAGGTGTGTCTTCTGGGTAGACTACTCTAGCAGTCTCCTGTTCAATGTGTTTAAAATATCGTACAATTTCCTTCATCTTTCTATGAGAACAGGACATATGGAACGATGAGACTTCAGTAATGCTTGTGCAATTGGTGAAGAAAAATCAAAATCAAAAACAACAACAACAACAACAACAACAACAACAACAACAACAACAACAACAACAACAACAACAACAACAACAACAACAACAACAACAACAACAACAACAACAACAACAACAACAACAACAACAACAACAACAACAACAACAACAACAACAACAACAACAACAACAACATCTTCAACAACAACAACAACAACAACAACAACAACAACAACAACAACAACAACAACAACAACAACAACAACAACAACATCTTCAACAACAACAACAACAACAACAACAACAACAACAACAACAACAACAACAACAACAACAACAACAACAACAACAACAACAACAACAACAACAACAATCCATCGACTCAAATGGCCGACAATGTTCTCTCGCCGCAAAGTGAAGCTCACCCTTCTTGCTCACTCCATAAAATACCAATATGCCCCACAACACATACGCTTGCTCAACACCCCCGCTCAAGTTACGGCCCAGTACAGCCTTCGACACGCACGCACTTGGCACCTCCCACCCTCCAGAACCGATCGCTGTAAAGACTCCCCACTGTACAAGTCCCTAGAATACTACAATGCCCTTCCTGCTAGCATTCGTGACGTCTCCTCCCAACCTGCTTTCAAACAAGAAATCTGCTCACTGCTGATTAACTCAATCTGCTCCTGCAGCGCTCACCCCCTCCCATACTTGTAAAGTTCAAAGTGATGTAAATCACTTTCCAACTGTTTAACCCACAATCTCATCTTCTCATCATTTTATCTCTTATTGGCGATGGTGCCATCGTGAGAATAAAGAATTCAAAATTCAAAAAACAATAACAACAACAACAACAACACGAGGGGGATGCAGGCATGAGCGACATCGACGACACGAGTGACACGATGTACAGTGATGAAGCCGAACGCAGCCTCGCGCTACTTCAACAGGTCACAGTAGACAAGGGAGACTGGAAAACACACAGCAAGCGACGCCGCAAGCACAACCAGTTGGAACAGACACCGCCCAATGCGATCCCGTCGCATCGCTCCAAGGCCAAGAAGAGGAAGCCAACAGCATAACGCGAATTCCATCAGCAACAGCAAAAACAAAACAAAACAAACAAAAAACAAAAAACAAATAAGAATATTTAAAAAAAAATCCATACCAATGTCAGTGAATTTGAACTTTCTCAGCACCAATGTGCTTTGCTTATTCAACAAAATGGACGAGTTACTTACCTTTACCCGTTCGTGCTCTGAATCTCAGAACGAACTATCAGTCATTGCAGTCCAGGAAACCTGGGCCGACACACCAGACCCTGACAGTCTCTATGCAATCCCAGGCTACAAGCTGACCAGAGCTGACAGACAGGACTTTGGTGGTGGTGTTGCCTTGTACACAGCAGAACGTTTCAACACAAGGGTACTGACAATACCAATGACAGCAGCAGAATGCGTATGGACAAGAATTTCCACCGATAACCTTTCCCTCGTTGTTGCAAACATTTACCGACCACCCCGTAGCGATGGCACCCTCTTCTGTGCGGAACTGGAAAGAAGCATTAAAACCGCTAGGTGACGACCTCCTACTACTTGGAGACTTCAATGCCAAGAACAGTGCGTGGCTCACCACAGACAGAACAGATCGCCTTGGGGACGACATACAAACTCTTCTACACAAATACGGCCTCACACAACATGTCAGATTCCTACTTACATCCACCGACAAACACCTCTCTCATGTCTAGACCTTGTTATCTCCTCACTCCACAGCAATAATGTTCATATCCAATCACTTCCACCGTTTGGCGCATCCGATCATACGACTATCAGTGGCCACATCAATAATCAACTGCCCCCATAATTAACAACTCCCCTCCACGATCCAGAAGCACCACATTCTGGTCATGGACAGACAGCACTATCCACCTTCTTCGAGAAGCCCTTTCACGCACAAATCTCAACCACCATCCAAACGAACACGACCCATGCCCAGTTGACACCTTCTGGCGATCCTGGCGCGACAAAGTCCTGAGCATCGCCCAAGAACACAGGAAGAACGTGCCAGCACGACCATGGATATCAAAGGGCCTCTTGAAAGAGATCAAGGATAAGCACAGAAAACACAGAATATACCTCCACTCACGCTCGCCCGACGACTGGAACACGTTCACTGCCCAAAGAAACCTTGTCACCACCCTCCTGCGGCGTGCCAAATCGGATTTCGTAAACAACTCAACAGCCTCCTCTACTTCCCTACACCGCCTCATGAAGCACCTAACTACAGCTACAAAACAACGCATACCCAAACTCGTCAGCCAAGCAACTCCTGCAACGACACCAGCACAAAAAGCCGCTGCCCTCAACGAATTCTTCATTTCACAGAGCAAGCTGTCTGTGGCCAATGCGGGTGAGCAAACTCCAGCCATCAACACCACCCCTGACATCCTCAGTTCCCTTCAAGAAATCTAGACTTCCCAAGCTGAGGTCGAAAAACTCCTCCGCGGAGTTGATACCAATAAAAGCCCCGGGTTCGACTCTATTCCAAACCGCCTACTCAAAGAAGCGGCTAAGGAACTTGCACCGTCGTTATCGTCCCTCTTTAATCTATCGTTCCAAACCGGAGAAATCCCACAGGAGTGGAAAGATGCCACCATTACTCCAGTACCCAAGCCCGGTGACCCAACCCAAAGAACAAATTACAGACCCATCTCTCTCTTGAGCACTACATCAAAAATCCAAGAAAAAATTGCACATCAACTCCTTTACAAGCACATCACCCCCCCTCCTGCCCAACCAGCAGTCCGGATTCCGTGAGAAAGACGGCACTGAGCAGCAACTCGCCCGTCTCGTCCATACCCTCTCCACTGCGAGAGACGACGGGAAACACGTCAATGCCTGCTTTTTCGATCTAAGCAAGGCCTTCGATCGTGTGTGGCATGCCGGCCTTCTAGCAAAACTCTCCCAGTATGGTGTCCAGGGCAACGCCCTGGAGTGGTTCCGACGGTACCTGTTGGGGCGTCGGCAAAGGGTCCAGGTGGATGGCGACCTATCGCCTTTCCTCGAGATCCCTGCCGGCGTCCCTCAGGGATCTGTTATTGGGCCGCTTCTATTCCTCGTCTACACCATAGACCTTCCACACGCATGTGAGAACCCCGGCACCACCTGTAGCCAATTTGCAGATGACACCGCTCTGATTTCCATTGCGAGAACTCTTCAAGATTGCACCCGAAACCTGCAACAGAGTGTCACAGCAGCTGGAGACTGGCTTTAAAGATGGCACCTGCTGGTTAACACAAAGAAAACAGTCATCCTCCCGTTCTACGACAATAACCGCCCCCTGAACAGCTACCCCAGATGACCCTCAGGAATAGTCTGCTTACCGTAGCACAAAAACACAAACACCTCGGAATAATCTTCCAGCATGACCTCCGTTGGACGGAGCATGTTGAATACATAGTCAAAGAATCACCCAAGTCTTTCAATATTCTTTTTAGACTAAGGTCTACAATCACCAGTGATTCTTTATCTCACATCTATCAGACATACATACTACCTATATTCTCATATGCAAGCAATGCTCTCACACCGTTGTCCCACACTTCCCCTGACAGGCTAGAACGACTCCAGCGGAAAGCCGCCAGAATATGTCTCCACCTTCCACTTTACACACACTTAGAACACTCCCACCTTTTGCATCGCATCAAATGGCCAACATTATTTTCACGCTTTAAAGTTAAACACATACTCTTCGCGCATTCTCTGCACCACAATTATGCCCCACCACATATACTCTCGCTGCATACTGCTAGCAACGTGCAACCTTCGTATAGTTTAAGTCGCTCTCGTATTTGGCACTTGCCAACTCCGCGGACTGACCGCTGTCTCCATTCTTCCCTGTACAAGGCCCTTCATTACTTTAATTGCCTGCCCACCCAGCTTCGCGAAATCCCTTCTCGTACTCCCTTCAAATCCGAGATATTCCTGCTGTTGCACAACTCTGTATGCCGGTGTAGCGACCACCCCTGTCCGTACACTTAAGTACACAACTCTGTATGCTCGTGTGGCGACCACCCCTGCCCGTAAACTTAAGTAGTCATTAACCCCTAGGCGCCCTGCCCACCCAATTCTTCCTCACTCTTTCTCCTTTCTTACATTATTATCTCTTATTGGCCACTGGCTATCGTGAGAATAAATATTTGAAACAACAACAACAAAGCTAGTTGAAAGACCCCAGGATGAGATACTTCTCCTCGGCGACTTCAACGCCAAGAACTGCTTGTGGCACCCCAGCGACACCACTGATGCCTTAGATGAGGACCTGCATTGGCTTTGCGAGACACGTGGCCTAACAACACGTCTCCTTTGCCACCCACCTACGCCAACACACACCTACATCGTGCTTGGACCTGGCCATCTCTAGCCTCAGCCGCCATAACATCACCATCACAAGCCTGCCCCCTATGGGTGCCTCTGATCATGTTGTCATACAAGGCAACCTACAACCCCAGCAGCACACCACCCACAGAAACAATAATACCAATAATAATAAAAATGAGAGCAGTACTACACAGGAAAGCAC